TTGTTTTTTGCAACACCTGTTAAAAATGTAACCACCAATTTAGGTCAAACCATATTAAATTGAAACTAGCCGTAACTTTTAGTGAAATTTCTTGCTTAGGGGACGAAAAAATGGAAACCACCAGAGCACCCAGAGAAAAGCATCTCGGAGCAGTGTCATGCTTTCAACACTGTGCTATCCCTGCTCCCACGGGATAAGACGGAATGGTTAAGATCGAAGGTGTTTTGCAGGGGCAAGACTCTAATAAATCTCATATCCTGAATAGGACAATGGCTGAGGAAATTCCAAGGAACAATATACTATAAAAACACTAACCTTTTTGTTCTTTTGACCACGATGTAACCACGAATGCGTTGTACCACCTTCCAGAAAACTTCACTCTGATTCTTTCGCCTTCTGCTAAGCTGGCCGGTTTCGGTGGATCGATGTCTTTTCGCGGAACTGGCTGTTGACATCCATTCCACGCACACTTTGTATCCCAACGAATCATCACTTTTTTACTTGCCATGCTTTTAGTTCAAACGTGTATGCTGTCCCGATGTCAATTCAAACAACTTCTTTTTAATTCGGTGGGAACCAGATAATGACAGCATCAGAACGCATAAAAAAAACAGACAGGACTCCCAACATTCCTCAAGATAGAGAGATAGTTGTTTTAGACTATAAAAAGGTCTACTCAAGTTATCGTTTCAGCAATATGTTTAAGTATTCCTTGCTTAGGGAAACTAGTGACTCGATGTCTCACTTTAGAACAAAAGTTTCATTAATACTTCGCTTTTACTTTCTGGCATCCCAGTTGGTATCTTTGATCTTGCGACCAAAAACGCAAACAGCTCCTTTTGGCTGGAGAACCAGAACATCTGATAGTATCAGCAAACATAAAAATAAGAAGACATTCACTTGAGACTCTAAATCATTAAGATATGGCGAAATGTTGTTTTTTTGGAGTATGAAGACGTCTTCTTTTCGTTGGAAGATAAGGACTTACATTCCCCTTGCAATATGTTTAGGTTTTCAAGTATAGAGATTTCAGTACTTCAGTATTTCATTTTTAGAACAAAAGTTTCCTTGATCAGTTGCTTTTTATTTTGCTTTAAGCACTTGGTTCCTTGGATCTTGAGACCAAAATCACAAACAGATCTAAGTCTTTGGTGGGGGACAAGAAGATCTGATGGCATTAGCGACTTTTAAAGCTATCTGATAGGACGATTTTAGTGGCACCATAAACAGTCACTCCCTTTCTAACTTCACAAAATACTAGTACTCATCTTCAGGGTGCTAGACGGAAGATAAATGGATAGTTTACCTCAAAGCATCATACTTAACATTTTCTCTTATTTACCTTACAAATTTGTTCGAAAAACTGCTTCTCTTGTGTGTAAGGTGTGGCTGCAAATTTCTCAGGACAAAAGTCTGATTAAGTACGCAAGGGATACCGAGTTCTCAAAAGTAAAGGCCCAAAACTCATCAAAGGAGACTGTGGATAACTTTCGTCAGGCGGTTAAATGGAGGCCTTGTCTCTTCCAATCTATAGACTTATCTGGCGCAAGTACAAACTGGTCAACATTCTGTGAAATAGTGGAAAATTGTACCAGACTGACAGTTTTAAATATGGCTAGAATGCAAGGTGGACTGTCTGAATATCCAGTGATTAGAGCTATTAACATTTGGGAGCTCAACTTGAGTGAAACAAAGCTAGATGACAGCCATCTAGTTTTTATTACGGAAAGCATATCCTCTTTAGGAATTTTGAATGTCTGCAGATGTGAAAACTTGACCGATACGAGAATTAACAATGCCTCTTTTGATTCCTTACGTTTTCTTGGACTAGCTCATTGTAAGGTCGGTGTTGATTCCATAATTTGTGCTATTCAAAAGCACGAGATTTTTGCAATGTGCGTGGAAGGAGTAACATTAAGCAGAGATGACATCTCACATTTGCTTGATCTGTTCCCCGACTTGGCTGAGATTGGCATTCCCGCTGTGTGTGGCTTGCCACAGGGAACTGTCTCCTCTGAAGCATTACAGCCACTTTGCTTTTACTGCCTCTCATCGCCTCTAAATACGGTCTAGTCCGTCAAAGAAAGTATTGATGGAAGTTGGATGGAACTTTAATAAACAATCTGTACTGATATGAAAAGAATATACTGTAGTTCCCGTTTCTCATCAATAAACTTTCCTCCGTTGAGACCATTACCCATCATTGCAACAGCAACTATACATGTATTTGAGTGTTACTATATGCATTCCTCGTTTGAAACGTACAACACCTCAATTAATCTCACCCAATTTGACTAATTTATTGATGCAAGAAAAGTACTTTTGCTCAGGCAGGAAGTCTCATTTATGTTAAGAAGGCATGATTTCTTATTAAAAATCTTGTTAAAAATCTTGTTAATAATTTTATTAAACAAAATCTTTGAAAGGAGGGAAAGAAAAACATCTGAAACATTTATCTGAAACATTAAGAACAATGGTAGTCTTTACACTAGAGCCCAAATAAGCTGAGAAATTTTTCAAGACAAGTAAATTTTAATTACTTAAAGTGAAATAAAGCTTCACACACAACCGATTCTTTTTTACTTCAGGTTATAACTTAAAGGCTATTTTCCCACGCAACATAATTAAGATTGATTGACATGTTTCGCCTTTCTCAAAGCTCGAGAAACCGCAAGTAACCGCAAGTCAGCTAAGTCGGTCATAAGGATGGTTTTCAAGTCGCTTGAAACTTTCTTGAATCGTTTCAACTTTCTGACTTTAATGAGATGCAAAGTAAAGTGTCTTGACATTTTTCTTAGGCCTTCACACACGAATTTTTGGTTAAGTAAAACTTAGCAGCTCGTAAGTCTAGTTAACAGCCTAGTGTAAAGACAACCATTTATATTGTTATTCAGGTATCCAAGTTTGCAAAGGTTGGTCGGAAACGTGTGTCGCCTATATGCAAGAGCAGGTAGTTGGCTAAAATCGACCGGAGTTGACAAATGAAACACCCCTGCTCGCCCAAATCCCTATGGCCCCTGGCCGCGCGTACACAGGTACAATTAGTCTTTGAGTCAATCATACCGGAGGATATCTTCGATCACAAAGATAGCAAATTTAGGTGAAGCTGGAACAGCTCCAACTTGCTTTTTCGCTATTTCTCTTGCAGTTTGACAATATAGTGACAACTGAAAGAATCCATAACATAAATTCAAGACTATCCGATGGAAAGCCTTTTCGTGAACGCCAAGGCAGTTACAGAAAAATCAATTCGCTGGTCAGAAAACCTTGAGGACCCTTGAGCTGCTGTCAAACCGGTTAATACTTGCGATACTAGCAAATGTTGGCAAATCAAAAGGGCTTCCACTTTTACTGAATCGCTCCCTACTTCTCTCCCAACTGGACATTAAGGTTTCTGTCTCCAAAGGATAACAAAGGGGAGAATTTTTCAACCCAGTAGTATTAATTTTGGTCAAGTCAATGCGATGTTTACTTTGTCACATTTTGATTAAATTTTGTTGTGATCCGCTCGTTCTTTGAATTACGTCCCAGTTTTGATGGTGGTTTGTCGACTGCCTGTTTCTCTCATTTTCTATTTTCTCGAGGCATTATGGTACGAACAATCTAATTATTAAGTCGCTATGGGGGGAAAAAGCTGATATTTTCTGTTTTTACGGGGTGGGCCTCACGACATCGTGACCAGTGACCCTGAATGCGAAAATATTCATGTTATTCAAACGATAACATGAAACATGACGAAGGCTTGCGGCATCATTTCTTCGATTCTGCTTCGCTTCTGGCATCGTGCTTTTGTCGCCAAAAATTCCGAAGAGGAAAAACGATCGAAGGAGTCGAATGTGAAGGTTTTAAAGAGCATAAAAAGATTAAAACAAGCTTGAGAAAAAGGATTGACCGGCCTGTTGGTGAAGCCTGATATGCTGATAGAAACATTTTGAAGCGTTGTTAGGTAGTTTGCGTTTCTTTGAGCAATATTGTTGGCTATTGTATTCAACATGAAAACTAAAGAATCCGTAGGCTCAAATTCGACTGCTTGCTCCATTCTTAAGAAGACTCGAAAACCGCATCTTCTTTCCTGCGTGTGCAATTGTTTGGTCGCTGTTGTTGATAGCACGACATTCTTGCACTGCAAGTGGGTTAAAGTCGGTGTGCATGAGGCGCTCACAGAAAAAACGATATTCTAGACGGAATGTGATTATTACTTGCAAGACATTTTTTTGGCCACCTGCTATGTAGAAAAGAAAGGCAAAAGGTAAGTTGCTAGTAAATTGATCATTTTGACACGGTGAGTTGGAAGACATGCACCCTTCGCATTTCATATAATAGAACACTGGTAATTTATTCATTCAAATACAACTAAATTAGCTTACTTTCCAGCATACGGAATGCAATATTGAAGCACAACAGAGCCGGTTGTTTAAACACATTAAAAATCTGTTTAAACGCATACAAAATGCGTTTCCACGCTTTTCGACAAAGCCGATTAAACGCGTTAGACGTTGTTTTCTAAATTCACCTTAATCCCCCTTTTCCCAAATAGGGTCACAAATGCTATCTATAAGGAGCAACAGTTTAGAATTTAAGCTGTTATTATAAGCAATTTTTCCTTTTACAATCTACAGTATGTTGCCGTTCCAGTCTGTCTTGATCAGACTATTGTTGAATTTACTGCTTGGTTTCAATGACAGATGCTAAGACCAGGCTGATTATTTAAGTTTATGCCCACTGTTTATTCTACATGGGGCAGCCCTTACAATATCACAGCAAGCTGGTATAATGCACCAGCCCTTTCCTTGTTTTTCAAACCAAACAAATAAAAAATGCTATCTATTAGGAGCAACAGTTTTGAATTTAAGCTGTTAAGCAATTTTTCCTTTTACAATCTATGTTGCTGTTCCAGCCTGTTTTTGATCATAAGCACTGCCCCTTCCTTTGGTTTTCAAACTAAACTTGTACAAGCTTAAATGTGTTTGGCTTCTCTGACCTGCATAGAACTTAGTCCAAAACCCATTGTTAAACAGTGTCAAACAGGGTCTTTAAAGCAGGGGAAATTGTTCCCTTCCTAGCAGCCTCTTTCACCAGCTTCATTGTGCTGCTCATGCAAAGTGGACATTCGTCATCACTAGAATTTGACTTTAGCAGTCCACAGTGGCAGTGCAATACATTTTTCTCTGCTACCTTCTTAGGGACGTATGAGTCACAAGCTTTCTTTTTTCTGGGCGGTAGGTAATGCTGTGGGGATCTAATTCTCGAAGCCACACCATAGAGACATATTCATGCCTAAAAACCATCCACCACCTCTGGTTTTTGTTTATGTTACAAGTGTTTTGTACATACGCCGCTAGTTTTATATGTTTGGCTTCTCTCCCCTGCATGGAATTTAATCCAAGTCCAAACCCACTCTCCTTAAACAGTTGTTGGGTGCTGTAGGGGATGGCATATCCAATTGTCCAAGTTGTGGGGTTAATGCCATCAAGCAAAAGGGCATGGGTATTCAAATACAGTTGGCACTTGCTTTCAAGCTCTACCAACTGTTCTCTACTAATTTCCACCCTTGAAAACAGTGACCCACTGTCTCGTAGTTGTAAAGCTGAAAAAGCTAAGGCATGCAGTTTTACTTTGATTGAACTTGAAATGTTGGTGATGCCTAAGAGAACTTCAATTAGGAGCCCAAAGTTCCAACAAAATCTCTTGGACTCCAAACCTGTAAAACGATAACTGAATTGAAGCCCTTTCTTCCGTTTCTCAGAAAACCAACGGCAAAAGTTTTTGTACAGATGTCCATACTTCATGCGTTCTTTTACACGATTAAAAAACGTGACTAGAGGGCAGGAAGTTGGCAAATCTGATAAAACTACTGCAGCCTTGATTAGGATTTAGGATTGGTGTGCTGCATGGCAACAGTCAAACAATGGGTAAACCACTGTTGCCAACCATTGTTGATGCTGTGCAATGGATCAGGCTTTATCAAGCTAACAAATTTTCCAAGGGGTGGTACAAACTCCTGCCTGGAAGGGTAAGGTAAAGTAATAATCGACTTTGTTTAATGAGGGTAGCACATAACAGTCTTTGACTGACAAACCCGTGGTCCTCGAATTCCCGATCGAATTGGAATTTAGAAATGTTCATTTTTGAGGAGGGAGGAAAACCGGAGAACCAGGAGAAAACCCTCGGAATCGAACCCAGGACACATTGGTAGGAGGCGAGCGCTCTCACCACTGCGCTATCCCTGCTCCCCTAAAGTAAATTTTAGATTTAGGCTGCATTCCTTTGGGGTGATCCGGATCTGGATCAGTGATCCAAGATCTGTCTGGATCATGGTACATCAACAGAACCAGCGAATCCACTTCGGTTATGGATTCACCAGTTCCTTTTGTGCACCATGATTCAGACAGATCTTGGATCACTGATCTTGATCCAGATCACCCCAAAGGGACACAGCCTTAGAGAAGACCAAAAAAAAATTAAACAAAAATCAAACTGCTTTTAAAAATTTTAAATAAGAGCAAAATTAGCTGCAAGGCATCAAAAAATACTCTACCTGGATTTGTTTTGTGCTATGAATTTTGTTACTTCACCCCTCTGCTTCTTGTCTGGATCTTTTAGGCGCTTTTTAAAATTTTGAACTTTTCTTGCCACCTCTAATCTCTTTTCATAACTCCATGGCTGCCAGGTTGCATCTGAATCTCCTATAGAGCCAAACATGGTGTGCTTGTTGCTTTGTGAGACATTTGCAAATGGGGAAAAATAAGTTGCCGCATTGTTCAACTCTCCTGAGAAAGAGGAGGCCCACTTCATGTCTGAAGGAATTAATTTGATGGCAAATCTTACTTGATATCCCTTCTCAGTGGTCAACACTTTATTTTCCACTTCTTCCATTTCTTTTGTAGGTTGTTGGGTGTAAGCTTTCATTAAAGGGTGGTCCTCTTCACAGTTGGCCCCCAGCAGCAGGTGATTTTCGTTGCAACTCTGGACTCGATTTAGCAGGTTTAGGAAACTGACTAAGTAGGCTGCAAGGATGATTATATACAGTAGAAGTGGTCACCACCAGAACTATGTTATGCTGTCCCCAAGTGATATAAAAAAGTAATAAATTAAGAATATTAATATCATTAATATGGGCTCTTCTTTGTTTACAATGAAATGCATGTGAAAGATAGTTCACAGTATCCTGAGGTACAACTAAGCTCTAAAAGATCTGCTGGCAATTCAAAAGTTTCTTGCAGTGAGTTTACATAAACTGGCCATTCATGCTAATCTAAACTAACTAAACAAGCTTACCAGTGGCGCAATCATCTTTACCGAATGGTACACCATCTGTCCTTATAGCAACCCAGAATAGTCCCTCTTCACCATGAAACCAATGAAGCATGAGGATTTGTTTATGAAGATCCATATACAGATCAGCTAGCTTCAGGAGATATGGTTTAAGTGGTCTGTAAACACCAGGAACACTTTCCGTAGATAGCTCTGTGGCTAGTGTTTGTAAATCTCTCAGTTCTCCGACATCAATAGTTTTCAAAGACGACATCAGATTTTTATAGGGTAAAATTTTTGGCACTTCAACCCCTGGAATAATTTCTGCTTTCTGATTTTTTCTCTTTTTCCCCCCTGTCTCATTCAAGACATCAGAACTATTTCTTATGCTGGTGTATTTTCTCTTTCCAAGCAGCCCACTTTCATAAAGTACTCGCATGCTTCTAATTTTGTTTGCTTGGCTCTTTTCATATTCTTTGACCTTGCTGTTCAAAATGCCTGGAACAACTGAATCCATGCATTTTTTGTTGCATTCAAGTTGGTGAATAATAAAAATAATATTACTTACCTATTGTTCACTTAAGTGTTTCAGTCTTCCTCGTTCATTAGGTGAACTTCAAACTTTATTCAAAGTTTTTAAAATGTTTTGTTTCATAATTATTCCTTTTACAATATGAGCAAACGTTTTGAAATACTTTTAACGGGTAGAAGCAATGCTATTATGTCTAATTCCTGTTGAACATGTTCATTATGCTAGGTATGTAACAACACTAATGTTTAGATTTTAAATCACTGTTGTATACTCACTTGTTAACATTTTGCTTGGCTGTACAACAGAGTTAACCCAACAAAAATAAAGGTAAGGTTATTGTGGGGTCAAACATCAGTCAATTCCAGCTACATACCTTTTTGCCCTGCTGGGTAATTGCAAGGTACTTCCAATTGCTCTCCTTTCATCTCCACCACAGGGTATTTGTCGTTTTTCCAGTCCCTGGGAATTTGTCATTCAAGACATGAAATGTGTTGTACAACAGAGTTAACCCAACAAAAATAAAAATAAGGTTATTGTGGGGTAAAACATTTGCTTTTACCTGGGGGTTACCTCAAAAAAGGGAAGGAGGACATAAGCACTGCTGGAATTAACTGTTGCACGAGTTAATGAATTTGCAGTGCATAACAAATTATTGGCTATTATAACCATGAATCTATGCATCATTATTAAAATAATATACTCCAAAAGGCTAAGTATTGAATTTGAAGAATGAAAATCTTTTTATTTGACGTAGTTCTTGATCCCCAGTTTCTTTTAAAGGTTTTGTGGTGCAAGAATACGTTTCATTTTTAAAACCTTGCACCCGTGCTACCCAATCTTGTCATTTTTGCTGAATTACCTGGATAATTAACTTCATGTAATGGAAACATTGAGCGTATAAAAAACTAAACAAAATACGCAATTTGGGGGTCATTGACTCCCGAGTTTTGCCAGAGCATTTAATAAGTAACAACTGATGGTTTTTCTGTCTTGGAATTCATGGATTTTATATATTTACTTAACCTTAAATTTCTTAGATTCCAACTCACAATTCAATTCAATTCAATACAATTCAAAAAATTTTGAGAAAAAATAACCCAAACATTAATAGACCAAAACAAAGAATAAAAACAACATGATATATGGCGCATATGGTAAAACAAGTGAGCAAGAAAAATGCTTGCGATGATTGAACTACATTGAATTAACTGTTTCTTTTCTCTGACTAAATACCTGTTGATAAACCAGCTTGCTAAGCATTCTTCTTATTTGTCTCTGAATTATTTCAGCGATTTGTTGTACAAAATCAGAAAACCTCTAACATCCTCAGCGATTTTTTCATCTTTGGGGTTGGACACCATGTTTTCTCAAGACGGGTGGGAGGGTCTGGGACCCAGCACTGTGATTGGTTTATTCTTCCTCTTCTGCATCCGACCCCTACAATCTGGTTTTCACTAGATCATAAGCGGTACATAAGAGATGGAGTCCTAAGCGGAAGAAAATGGAAACGTTCTGATTCTTCTGACTCCGCTTACAACTCCGATTTTTGATTTACACTAGGTCATAAGCACTCTTACGACTCTGCTTTTGATTCCAACTCCGATTCCGTCGCTAATGAAAACCAGCCTTAACTGAACAAAAAAAAGTTCCAACAAGAGGGAGACTTATGTTTTGTGGCCTTTAACTTTCAGAAACTATCGTGTTTGACACTTTAGCAAATATTCAGTCACGCAAGCGATATTCCCTTAGAAATTTATTGAACATGCCTATCATGATACATTTATGTGGTATAGAATGGCAGCATATCGAGATAATTAGCCTGAATTCCCTCGGCCATGCTGTTGGGCTTGGGAAATTTCCCAGGCGAGAGAAGCTCTGGGCCTTCTGGTGCTGGAGTATTTTTCCTCTTGCTGGCCTTCTTTTTTCCTTTTACTGGCTAAGGGGCATTTGTAGAGGCAGCTTCCGCAGCTTTGTCCATGTTGACCAACATTGTAGCTCCACTCGATGATGGCATTGGCGATTGAATGATCTCTGTGCAACTTTTAGAGAATTCTTTTCTGCTTCCATTATAAAATCAAATAGACTGACTACTGACGAATAACTACTGCTCTCTAACTCTGCTTGCAACAGATCAGGTTAGGCTGTTTGGTCGCTTGTTTTCCACGTATTATCTCTATAAAAGCCAGATGCTTGGTAGTGCCATGACTGTCTTATGACAACTGGATGTGTCACTTTGAACTTAAGCCAGTCTCATGCTTAGTCATTGTAAACGTGTGACATTGCAATCCTATCAAAACAGTCTAATTTATGTTACCAACTCAAGAAATTCGCTTCAAATAAAATGTTCTCCACCCCTAAATACTTAAGGAAGGCGTTCTTAAATGAAATTCACAGACTGATTGTTTCTTTCCACCAAACTTGCCACCCACAATTTGTACCCGGCCTTGTCATTTGGGTATAGTTATTCTCTTTGTTCTGGAGCCAAAACAATGCTCCCTGAAGCGTCTTTGAATATCAGCTTTAGAAAGGAATGGTTTTGGTGACGATCACATCCAGAGGATACAACTATTTGAAAGTCTCTTTACAAAACGAACACTCCTAGCATAAGTGCCATTTGGCATTACTATGCTATGCGTGCCTATTTTGATGCCAAGTCACATAAAAAAACAGAAGGGCAAAAATTTTGATTTGGCAAATAATAGTGAGCTTTATCATACTGCTACCAGTGCAATAGTGGTTTGTAGTCTCATAAAATTTTTTCGAGAAGTTTAACGATTTATTCCGGACAGAACCAAACATTTTCATTATCCTCAGGGACGTTCACAAGAATGGATTCCCCTATTAGCCTCTCAGACATTGCAGAAGGACCTGTTTCTTGGCTAAAATTAATATCCGACAGTTTTAAATCTAATTGTAGAACTAAAGTGGCTATTGTGCTACCTGCCTCTTTTTTAGAAACGTTTTGGCCCACACAATGTAAATAAAGTTAAGTGTAGTGGTTGGGCTTCCTGAAGTTGCTCTATTTGAAAAGACATTTCTAATCGTCAAAACTAAAACGATGATGTATTTACATAGGTTCCGTTTATCGTTAGAGGGGGATAAAACATATTTCATTCTGTTAATTACTTCTGTCAGAATAAAATGTCATGTGAACTAGCAAGATGGACACAAGATGGCATGAAAGTAATACATTCCCGGGATTTCTCATGGTTCCCAATGTACGGTCCTGTTGTCAACACTTCCTTTGTTTTATATTGCACAATCGGTCAATTCAGATATTTCTAAGGCTTGCTAGTCATCATGCAATGAGTCATGGGAAGGAACATAGGCTTATCATGTCAGCTAGTGAAGGATGCACCCTGGATGATATTTTACAGGGCTAGAAAAGAAGGGTTTAAAGGATCCAACCCCGGCCACATTAAGAGGAAACAATTGAAGAATTAAATAGAGCATAAAAACTTCCTACCTTTTGCAGTTCAAGCGTAGTAACCATAAACTTGAAATCTTAGTGACAGCCCTGAGTTTCTAACTAAAAATCCCAAAACAATATTTTATGATTCCCCTTTTTTTAATTATGTTAGCTATGTTTTACTGGATGTTCACTTTAAGTTTAACATTCTTTTAAAAAATGTAGGGCCGAGTTCAGAGTAACATTAAGTTACTGTATTTGCAACTACACTTAGATAATAAAATGTGTTGTGCAGCCATGGGAAGAAAGTGCTTAAAGTAATAGCAACAGGTTTTGTGATAGTAATAGTTGAGTTCTCAGCACTTTACCCTTTGCTTGTATAGACCCAGTCACACCACTGTGCATCTGTTGGTTCCATAAGAGCTTACACTGGGTCATATTAAACGTGTCCTTTCTTTAATGCAGGCTTTCCATCCTTATTTTCCTAATAGTATCCCGGTACCTCACAGGCGTCAAGGGGAGACACTGAAGTGAAGAAACATTTCACTTCTCCACTTCCAAAGTTATCTAGGTTAACCACTTTGCATTCGGTGAGCAACCTAAAGTTGGATGAAACAAAAGGACCACTCTTGATCACTTTAACAAGCTTTCCTACTTTTTCAGACATATTTTTCATACTCTTCTAAAGTCACTGGTTCATATTTTCTACCATGTTCAACAGCAGCTAATATGAATGCCTTTTGTTACAAGATCTTTTAATAAATCGAAGAGTATTGTATGAGTAATGCCCTGCAACTATTGGTCTTAACCAATGGTCAAAGACAGCACAATAATCATTCGCTCATTACAGTAGCAATTTCGTTTCTCATTATGTTTACACTACAAAACACAAACCGTTTTTCACTTGGAAAAAGATTGTGCAAACATTTGGTAACTGCATTTAGTTTAAATTTGCCCAGTACGGGATGGACCATTAGAAATAAAAGCAGAAAACATGTTCGAATAGTCTAAGGCTAAACTATCCAAAAAATAATCCCACAAGCAGACTGGAACATAGCTGGAAGATACGTATTTTTAACCGTTTAAAAAGAAACCTGCAGTGCATAAATTGTTAAGCAATTCGGAGACTCTAAGATTTATTTAAAACTTGGGGTTAAAAAAGCTTTGGAAACAATCTCTGTTAAACATCTATTAACCTGAAATCAAATTCATACTAACCCGAAATTAGCTTCTATAATCGTGCTTTGAACAACCTGGCCCTGATAGATATCTTTTTTTTAATGTCACCTTATGTCAATCTGTTAGTTTGGGAATCATAACTAATTCCTAAACCTAACGGATAACATTGGCTATTAAACAACATGAACTAAAACAAGAAACTACCCAAACGTCCGGAACACACAAAGCTGATGCCTTACCACATTTTCTCTCACGTAAAAGTTAACCTGCTAACTACAGACCACTTAATGTAAGGGTAATAGAGGTCGTTAATTTTAATATCATTGCGCTGGTTTCTCCGTGGATTAGAGCCAATGAAGGCGCGCAATTAGTAAAAAACCTACGCGTGAATCTGACAGCTCAATATCCATAAAAGAAGGGCAGGAAATTCCTAGGGAGTGGGGGATGTCAAGAGTCAAAGTTTTTAAAGAAAAGTATGAAAAAAAAAATTGGAATTTCCAGTGGTGTGAAGGGGTATAATCTGAAAACCCTTTGTGGGAGGGGTATGGACATTTACATTTACTTTGAGGTGTAAAAGTCCTCCTTGGGTAAAAAGGAAGGAGCTTCTTTTGTTGTTTTAATGTATTGGCCTGAACTCTATATTCGTTCAGAACCGCCCTACAGCGCAGTTCAATAGATTTAGCAGAGATCTTCCCCATTTTCTGCCGTTCTGCCTCGACCACTCTTTTATACCTCTTGCCATCTATAATTTGCAATTTGCAGATGCCAATATAATCCCTCAACGTGTTGCGACGGATGCTAAATTGCCTCATGGCCTCTGTTAAGGAGCACTGGTTATTGACCAAAATGTCCAGAACTGCCTGGTATCTCTCATGGATCCCTTGCAAATTGGAACCTGTAACTAATTCTGAGATAGAACGACAGAAATGCGATATCAGTGTAGGGAGTTAACGAGCAACTCGCTCGCTGAGCGTAAAGGTACCAGGTATCTGAGTTTACATCTTGTTGTTCTTTAATCTTTACAGCAGCTCATATGTAACTAACCTCAACTACTCTCAACTAATTCCACTAGCTAACACGGCCAATTAAATAATGAAATTGTGGATGTGTTTGGGATAGCTGACCATGAGACCCTTACATTGCATATCCTGTCGCTCAACTTGTGAACGATAGAATAGTCTACACTGTCGCAATTAACAAGTACTAAAGAGCCAATTGAATGCTAGCGGTAAAACTGCTCACTAGGACCAAGCATACAAAACAGGAACTTCAGTGGAGGCAAAACTCAAGGTCAGCTATAATCCCCGAACATGCTTACTTCAAAGAACTACAATAAGTTTAACAAATCCTTTCAATAGACGATACTTCTCAAAACTCAGGAACTAACCATGTGGCCTATACATTAAATTTCCTTGGACTATGAACAGTTTATTAAGAAACTAGCACGTGCTACAAAATAATTATTCGAATAGAAAAACGTTAAAAATACCAAAATTCCAAAACAAAACTAACAGCAACTACTTCATAACATTCCTCCCTCCTTAGAAGAAGCATCGTCCTCGATGCAATTGGACGTATATGAATGAAAAAGTAAGGAACAAACATAACTAGCTGAGGAACACTAAGGAAATTTGAAAAAGTACTAAGAAAATAATGCGAAATATCTATAAAACTACCTCTAATATTAATCAAGAGTTCAACGTTAAATGTCCAAAGAAGATGAAAGTTCTTGAATCCTGAGTGCTTGAAAACAAATGCATGCCAGCCTTCTAGTGTAAACATCTTGAAAAAGTTTAGATCAGTAGACACAGATTCATCTTGTAGGAGAATAGACGACGACTGGTGCTGCAATTCATCTTGTCGTGTAAATCAGCGCTGTCTGCAGACTTCATACTGAGGTTTTTCGAAGCAGACAATGCATATCTCGTGAATAGCTAGCTATCTTGCTTGTAACATATGCTTTTGGTATAACACAATTTCATGAAAAAGCAGCGAACTTGTCTGTTAAAGATAGAATGTACTGGCCAGTAATAGAATAAACAGGCATAGTTCGGCTTAAACGTAACCAAGTAGAGGTCAGACTCCACCACATGGCACAGCCAACGTTTTAAAATCATGTGTGTTTTGACTTCTCCTCTTCTCCAGTTATGTGCAGTTCCACTTCACAGGAATATATTAATGAAGATTCGAAGAACCGTCGAATAAACAATGAATTACCATTGCAAACAAGTTAAGAAGATAGCTACAGAGAAGGACTACAGCTATCTAATCACCTAACACGTACTGCTCCACAAAACAACATAATACCCATCTCAAACAAAATTTATCGATCAAAATCAAAAACCTTCATTTAAACTCGACAACATTTAAAGCTTGGTAGCTTGACGTCGTATATAAAAAGCAACGCTTAAAGAGTACGGACACAAGAGTACAGAGAGAAAACTTATTAAACTTAAAGATGAAAAGTTTACGAAAAACCTTAACACTAAAAAGATTGCAGAGAGAGAGAGGACACTCAAGAATCCATCGCCAAAAATAAATTTGGGAAAAGTGAAGAGGAGTACAAGTAAAAACACAAAGCACAAACCCAGCAGCAAGGCAGACTACAACAAACCACAGACTTAGATTATTTTCGTGACCGAAGATAATTATCAATGAGACGTTTATCCAAAATTTTTTCTTCCGGTTCCCACGTTGACTGGCTCTTAGGAAAATTGAGCCACTTGACCAAGTACTCGACCTTTTTGTCCTTTTTCGATGTTTTAGAATTTTTTCTGCACTAAACACAGTTTTATTGTCAATGACAATTGCTTCCGGAGTTGGTTCTTTTTCATGTTGAAGTTGATTCTTTGTCCTCTCTTGGTCTGATTCTTTGTTTGATTCTTTCTCTTCATGAGATTGTTGGGTCACTAATGCTTGTTTGCCAACAGGATCTAACCCAGAGTCTAAAAGATGCTCTTCAGCATGCACAGAATTATTTGGCTCAAAACAATCTTTTGGAATATCAGATTCAGCTAAATATGGCTCTGAAGGATCATCGAAAGGCGGAGGGTCAATTGGTCTCAAATTTGGATCAACAAACGGCTTCATACGATTTGCATGACATGAAAAAGCAACTTTTTTATTGGCGATCGTGCGCAACTTAAAATGCACTGGCGACAACTTCTCAACGATTTCGTATGGACCCAACCAGTTATACATCAACTTTTTAGATAATCCTTTTCTAGTCCTCGGAGTATAAACCCAAACCCGTTGCCCAACTTCAGAAA